ATATTAGTGTTTAAGCCTTTTTATTATATATATATATATAATTAATTAGCAAATGTTCAAAGAACTTATCTGATTGACCAACTCCAGATTTTTATGTAACCATATTCATCAGCAGCCCTCTGACCCTGATAAGCATTATTACATGAAACTCTGAAGTTTGCCAATGATTTTTTTGAACATTTACAAAGTAATTTATACATTATTGCCCTTCCATTTATCTGCTGAGCACTGTATAACAACAATTCTACTGGCTTTACAAATATATTAAATTCTAGTAATTATTATGCATTTTGATAGGCATTATTGAGTTGTGTCATATATATATATATATATATACATACATACATACATATCTTATGGCTATATCATGTTGAAACACTGATTCTTGTATGATCACTGAATTTAAGCAACATAAAGCCTAGTTAAAACCTAGATCTCTTCCCCCACCCCACTCCAGGCTATGTGTATTGGATGGCAACCAGTCTAGAAAGACAACTCTAAATTTGAAATCTGAGAAGAGGAGAGTTGTTTGGTGACCTTGTAGAATTCTCTGTATCTGGTTCTTACAAAAATTGTGGTCGGTTCTGTACATGCAGTCACTGCTATAATCAAATTATATGTGCAGGTAGTTTGGCTGTTTGGTTTGATGAACTGAGCCACTGGACCCTCATACACTGAAAAATGACAGGAGATTACTCCATATATATATATAAATATGAAAGTGAACATTGAAGTCAACACTCAGAGGCGACAGGTTGTTTTATGCAAATAAAAACAATATACATTTTATTTCTATTTTTTGTATTTAAATGTTTGGTGTCTTGTGTAGAAATCAAATGTCAGACTACTTGCAAGTTAACCGATATTCTACATCTTGTTTGGGGATAGTTTTCACAAGTCAGAATATTAGTTATTTTCATATAAAAATGGAACGTATTTTTGCATATTTGAATTTTTTAAACTTACAAAATTAATTTTTTAATAATAGCCTTTTAATTCAATTTTACAAAACCTTTTTTTTAATTTATCCCCACCAAAAAAACAGAAAAAATAATGAAAATAATATATAACAAGAAAATTCTCTCTTTCTCCCTCTTTATATATATATATATATATATATATATATATATAAATTTATTTCCTTAAACCCCTAATTCCACTTTTGATTTCTTATATCTTTACTTCTCTTTTTTTCTCTCTATACCATTTCCTGTGAGATGACCTATTAAATAGGTCAATGTCTGGTCCTTACCCCACTTCCTTACTATTAAGTATTGTAATAAAAATAAATTTAAAATCATTCCTATCTCTCCCTTCCCTCTCTAATTTCGAACATGTCTGTTACACTCTCTTCCCACTGTCTATATCTCCTTACATCAACTTAAAACTACCCCTCAAAAGTGTATAAAAAATATATGTAAATTTAAATTAATTTTTTTAACATTGGAAATGTGGTCTGATAATCCAGGGAAAAAGAAATTCCCTGGGGAAATAAATTATAACCAATGGATCCTTAAAGTTGTCTGTTTTCACAATTTTCAGATTTGATCAGGAGGTTTTGAGGAATGTGGAATCATCTCTTAACTGCTGCTGTTCCCAGGTTCATCCTGATCCAGAGTGGTAGCACCTGTTGGGGTCCCAGCTATGGGTAAATAGTTAGCCACCAAACTGGGGTCAGAACACTATGAAAGTATAAAAATAGATTTTTTTATAGTAAAAATACCAGCAATACATTTTTGAAAAAAAAATCATATTTCTGATAGATTTGATTTGGCAAAAAACCTCTTTACAAAAATATGTTAATAAGACCTGATCTCCTACAAACTGATTTTTTTTCTATTCATACAATTCCAGTTGGGTTTGTTACATTCACTTACGCACAAATACCCTTGTGAAAGGTATATGTCTCTTCTCCCTCCAGCTATGGGTTAAATAGCAGGACATTGATTGGCAATCAGTTTACTGCAGAAATAAATGGCAGCCTACTGTAGAAAAATCCTTTGCCAAGTCAGTCATGACTCAAAAGAGACATGATCATCCAAGCTTATATCACATACAGCATTTGACTGACTGATATATAATGTACATATTGCTGGCAGTAGATACCAAATGTAAATACCAAATTCTATAATTATCTATTTTTTATCTATTTTTCTTTTTAAATTTTTAAGTAATTAGTTGAAAATTGTTAAATAGTTTACTGCAAAATTTATACATTAACAGTTTGAAAATACAATAGAGCAATACAAGCAATCCACTATATTTAGAGAAATTGTTTGTGTTCATTAGATGATTGTTTGAATCTACCAATAACTGTTTCTACATCCGATTCATCTAACAATTCCTTTTCAATGGATAGCAACAAATTATTTGACCAAATTGTTAATTTTAAATTGAACAGTTTTTGAATTTTCATCCAAATATGGAAGTTTAAAAGATTTTGGCATCTGCTTGTCACATTTTTTGATTTGAATAATGATTATCACTCATAGGATTATAGTTTTGTAATCACTGGTTATTTTCAGTAATCAAATAAAACTGCCTGTAATTATCACAAATCTTTCTTTTTATGTGCAATGTCTTTTCAGGACGTAGGCGATTATGGCTCTCCACCTCCCTCTATCCCTTGCAGCTCTCAACAAGTTCCTTACCTTTGTTTCCTCCCCCAGACCATGTTCTGTCATCCACTTGTGTAAGTCCACATATTTTCCCTTGTCTCTCTTTCCCTCTATTTGACCTGTGAGTATCAGATTCTCCAGGCCCTCCTTCCTCATTATGTGTCCCAGAAACTTCAGCTGCCTCTTCCTGATATTAAGTATAAGCCTCCTACTTCTTTGCAACCTAAGACCTCATCGTTGTTCACATGCTCAGTCCATGATATCCTTAGTATCCTTGTGTAGAACCACATCTCTTTCGCCTCGAGTCTCTTCTTCATTTTGAGGAAATCATCCAACATTCACTGCCATAAAGAAGGACAGATGTCACATAACAGTTCAGTATTCTTTTCTTTGTTACCAAAGAAATCTTCTTGTCTCACAATACTCTGCCTAGCTTTTGGAATGTGTCCTTGACTGTTTCTTCTGAAAACATATTATACCCTTTTTTCCATATGTATTTTTTGAAAATGTTATTTATTCATTATGAAAATTAAATGATAACATTGTAGTTGCAGCAATCAATATTTTTATTAATATATACTGGCAACCAATATTTTTAAACCAAATCCGCCACCAAATTTGGCTAAATTGATCCTTACAATTGTTCCTCTCTTTAACTCTTTTTAACTGCCATGTGCTGTTGGAACATCCCAGAAAATATCTTTTCTTAATATTTAACAAGTGGCAAGTTAAATTTTTATGATTACTCAAGGAGCTGTCTGAGTACCTGTGGAATAATTAGCCATGGCTACATGTAATTGACAAAATTGTCAACAAGTGGAATTGACTAAGTTCTCAATAAAAAAAAACAGAAGAAAAAGTACAGTGCAAAATAAAACTAAGCAAACAATGTATATGCAAGTCAAAATTAGGCAAAGCAATAGTAATAAGGCAAAAATTTCACAAAGTAAGAATTATGTTCACACGGAAAAGGGATACAGTCAAGTGGTTCTGACTTTGAGACAAGAAAGAACTAAAAGAACAAATTGCTGTCAAGAAAGTTTACAAGTTTTTGGTTTTCCAAAATGTGATTTGAAGGTCAGAAACACTACAATCAAGCAGACGCAGATGTTTAAACATCTAAGAAGCATCGTGACAGAGGACAGTAAGTGGATAGCAACAATAATCTCACTGACATTTCTTTATAATTGATATGTTTGTATCTCACTGGGCGGACACACATATGCAGCCTTGTACTGTACTAAAGTGCTATTAATTTTATTTTTAATTGAATTGAAAGCCCTCTTGTCATTAGTCTGAACTTTGAAGGTTTAAACTTTGGGACTACTTAAAGAGTGGTCTACTCCAAAAAATAGGGAAATTTGTTTTTGAAAATAAATTTTTGTACATTATCGTTTTTGTTTTTAAAACTTTTTTTTAATAATAATTAAATTTTAGATTGGAACACTTGTCAGAATTGAAATTCTTTTTTTTCCATTTTAGAAGTGTGCTAAATCCTATTTATTTTGATACAGTGTAAAAAAAATCGATACATGATTTTTTTATTTAACAGAGATATCAGAAAATAGCAGTTTGTTTATAAATGTCAAGTTTTAGAACTGTGCTTAGCTTCGTGTGTCTATATTTCTGAGATTAGGTATTGTAACCATTTTGTTAGACTATAGTGTTCGGACTGTTGTTCTCATCTTTGTTGCCGTATTTCGGACTGATTTCCAATCACCTGAAGAAGGCCGGAGTATACAACGACCGAAACGTTATGAATATGGCACTAAAGATGAGGACAACAATTCGAAAAGTGTAAATAATGTGCTTACGTTATTGATATCTAACTACGAAAACAGACTTTTGTGTTTCTTTATAAAAAATATTTCGTTTTTTTTTTAAATAAAATAATACCACGATGTGCATTTTTTTTTTTATTAATTTATGTTTTAAATTTATTCTAAGAATTTTTTTTGAAACAAGCTATAGCAACTGTTTCCCTTCTATCGATCAATTTTTAAAAATAATAGAATCCGTGTCTGTAAAAAAATTAAAAAATATCATTTTTTTTTAATTTGTAAATACTAGAGTCCGGCTGAGTTGTTGAGTATATTCGCTCATAATTTTATTTTTACAGATATTTTTCGAGCCTCATGCCAAGAAAAAACTTCACTAGTAAATTACAAAATAAAATAAAATTTTAACTTGATGATGTAAACCGGCCTCGTTATTTCGTGTGTAAGGCACAAGAACAGAAAAAGGAAAGAAAGACAATTTCAACAACAAAACACACGTGGCCGATAAAATGACACCAGAAAACTTGCACTTAGTTTCTCTCTCTCTCGCCCTGGAGATTTTAGAACAACAATGGAAAAAATAAAATAATAGCCAATATATCACCATCCGAACTGGTCTCTTCGTATTCCGTGACAAGAGACTGCAAGTAACTGAGCCGACCAATTCCATATGGTCCAGTTTTTTTGTCGAGATATTCTTGAGAACTGAACATCTCATTTCAATTCAGGCGACACATGTAACAAATCAAGTACTGAGCATGCGCAATGCTGATTGTAAACACCAGTTGGTTTATCTTAACTATGGGTGCTCAAAATTGAAACTAAATTGTATTTTTAAATATATTTATCGTAATAAGTGAGTTTTCTTATAATTTTAAATATTTACTTTAAATACTAGTACTAAAATGATATTGTTCTGTCTCAAATAGTCGTTGTGTTATTTTTTTTTAATGTCGTCCAGTATATTTTAAATTACAGATATTTTTTTCTTGATTTAAACAAAAAAAAAAACTATCGAAAACCTAAAATTTCCCCTAAATAACGCTTGGGACTAAGTAATAAGAATTGGTATAACTTACCTCCACGTATTTACTAAAAGTAAAATCTTTTGTAGAAAATATAAAAAAATCACAGTAAATACGAAGTACACTACTTTTTCGATTATCCGTACCTCGATCTTCCGGAATTCGAATATCCGGAAGTGAAATGAAGAGAAAAATTGAAATCATCCGAACATTTTTCCAAATATCCGAACTAAACCCATTTTAATATTTAATCTCAAAGAAGCATTTTTAGAAAATTTAGAACAAAACGCCTATAAAAAATCAGTTTAATTCTTGTTAATTTCCTCGTTTCAAACAAAGGACATACACAACTTTCAGATGCGCGGGACAGACATAAACTATGGTTCAATGGGAGATTAAAACAAAATTGAATTTATAAACGTCCTGAAAAATATTGAAGCGGGAGTGAATATTGCCAGTGTTAACGTTCAACAGCCCAATTTCAAACACCGAAGCAATTATTATATTTGACTAATGCTTACAGTTGATTTGGCTTTCAACCAGAAGTTAGCCTTACAATTAGTAAGGGCCAGTGCGTACTACTCTCAGGGTTGTAGGACACCAACCTGATTGGGGGCCCAATTTGCTTTGTGACCCTCGCTATCTTAAAAGCATTTGCTTTTTTTTAACCTACATTTATATACGTTAGAAATTATACTAAATACAACTGACTATTAAAGAATACAAAATTTTGATGTCGTTCTTGAAGAAACACTATATAAAATTCATTATTTTTTCATCCATAATGTTGAATGTGTTAAAATTATTCAACTTATTAACAAGGAAAATCTCAAGTTGATGCTAAAAATTGCTGCAAAATATTGTTAATTTATTTAAGATGGAATGATCTATTATGACATGTCTCTAATTTGTATTTAAATACATTCTATTTATTTTCATTTTTTTCTAGTTGAATTGTTCACCTATATTGCATATGATCCATTATTGTACATAATTAGGTTACATAAGATTTGTATTTTATATGAATACTACCTTATGAAAATTGAGATGTAGTTGTAGCGATTGCTATGTTTTTCCACGCCCACATTTTATTCGCCTGCCATTGGCTAATAAATCACTACTACTTACAATAGGACAATTTATCCATCGCAGTCGTTTCTTTGAATCCTTCTGTTTTGAGCTTGCTTGCTTGCTCTGTTAGTACGAATGTAGTGATTGGTTAATTTTTAACCAATCACATATTTTAGTGCAAGATTAAGTTTTCCCGCGTTGTCGTGGGAGCCAACCCTTTTTACATAAAAGAGTCGACTTTTTCACAAATCGTCAGCAAGATCCAGTAAATTCACCTGTACATACAAGTCCACGATCTTGCTCATAACAAACACACACACACAGACACAGAATTTCGTAATATAAACTTACATTTCTCTCTGTGACTTAGCCAAGCTCAATCAACCAGGACTCTGTTGATTTCGAACCATTCTATAACACAACACATTTTTGATCAATTGTATTCTTGTGTTATATATTCTAACAAACAGACCTTGTTCTAACATTTTTCTCTCAAAAAGAACTTTCTTGAAACAATCAATTACAAATAAAAATAAAATTAAAGAGGGACAATTTCTTTCTCTTAATCTATACATTGAGTACAATTTTATTGCACATTTGTTCTTGTATGTTATTTCAATACATACTTGTTGATTCACAGTTTGTAGTTTTTTTGTTTACTTGAATCCCGTACGTTGAAAGTATAATAATATAAATAGTATTGGTCTATCTACATCTTTAATAAATCTTTAAACCAATAGGCCCTTACATAGTTGAGTCGGGGTTCCCATATAATAGATTCAGGGACAGTTGCATTACTACAAAAAGGATCTAGAAGAATTGCTGTCCAGGATAACTTTCATTTCACTATCTGATAAGAAAGGTGTGAATCAGTTCAAAAGTGTAGCCAGAGACACTGTAACTTTTCGACTTATGAAGAAGACCTGTATTCCAAACCCTGTCGACAACTTTTGAGATGTGCAAAGCAACAATCGAGCTTCAACATTCTTATCTAGACTTTGATAGACTCTGTCTCTAATTTGTATGTACATACATTGTATTTATTTTCATTTTTTTTTCTAGTTGAATTGTTCACCTATATTACATATGATCCATTATTGTAGATAATTAGGTTACAATAAAATTTGTATTTTATATGAATACAACCTTATGAAAATTGAGATGTGGTAGAGTTGGTGGCACCGTATCATGGTTCGTGGGGGTGGGGTGGGTAACGAGACCCTTGCACAAGTCCTGATAACAGACTCTGAACTAAATTGCAAACAGAAATTTTTGCAGGGGTAAAATTTAAATTTAATTAAAGCGATCAAACGTCCATAAATAATAATTTTAAAAAATAACGAAAAGAAGGGGATGGAAAAAAAAGAAATTAATGTGTAACGGGAGAGAGCTATGGGAGAAAAGGTTATTTTCCCATTTGTATTTTCTTCGTTATGGGCAGTATTATATCCATGATATTGTGGTGGAGACTTGCTAATTAACTATTTTGTCTGGTCATAAATGTTAGAAAGGTGAAGGTGAAGGTTGCGTGAGTGAATTAGTTATTTCCGCACACATTTTAAACTTCTTCGTTCCACAAAATTGATAAAAAACACAAATAGGACACAAACAACAAATCTCAGATAATTACAATAAGAATATTTTATATAACATAAAATACATAAAAATATGTGTTGGTTTAATTTTAGTGAATGAAAGATTTGGTTGGTGGATTTTAAATTTGATTTTTATGAGAGATTAGAAAAATTTACACAACAAACTTTTTCACTCAATATCTTTCATAGAAAATCTTTCGTCTAAATTAAATTCAACCTTTTAATCGAAGGCAGACAACTTTTAGACATTGAACATTTCCGAAACAGCAAAGCACTTTTTCTCTAAAATATACCTTTGCACACATCATTAGAAACAAAGAAATTGTAAATTGTGTATATAAAATTTAATCTGTTGTTTCAAACATGTATTTTTGTCGTGATTGAATATCGTTACAATTTGACCATTTCTTATAATTTATGTTTGTGGATATTGCATATTTTATTTGCAGCACAATTTTAAATATTCACGCAGCCTTCCTAGATCCACAACAACATAATATATCCACTCGAGTATTTATTATCCAATGAAATTCACTAAATCAGAATAGTGTGATAATTAGATACTAGAAATTGGTGTATAGAGGTTAAACTAACACCGTACTTCACGGACGAACAAAATGACTGAAAGAAAAAGGAATGACAAACAAGCTTAGTTCTCTGAGAGACATTTACATACACAACTATATATACATATATACAAGTGTCCCACACGGAGAATAATATATCATATCTATCCCACAGCAAATCAGAGTGTAAAGAGAAACAAAAAGTAAGGTTCTTACATCTAATATGGAGATACTCCTGTGCCTGGAGAAGCCAACTTCAAACAGGCAGGATTCATCTATTTCCCAGGCGAGGACATATTACACGATATCTAGGAAAGATATATTCCCAAAGTGAAGCGGTATAATAGACTTGTAAGTTGCTGAGGAGGAGGATTTAACCCTTGCCCGGATCCATAGTGGGTGGTAAGCAAGCTTTCTGCTTGGCTGCTGTAAGAGGAACTGAATTTGACTGCTGCTGTCGTCACTGTGTCGAGTGACGTCACTAAGCAGTATCTCATGTGACCCATGTAACTTATCTCCACCAAAGGATGATAAGCACCTTCTGTATTCCTACAACTGCAAAGTGGTAATATCGAAATACAATATCAAAATACAACCTGATTAACAAAGAAGACAGCTAAACCGGTTTGGTCCTCTCGTATCAGAGTTCAATCGAGGACGAAAATTGTGCACAGCGACTAAAATGAACACCAAAAACCAAATATATAACATCTCCTTCTGCTTACAAAGAGATGGCTAGTAAGACATTATATAAATTGATTCCAGTACCTTAAAATGAAATTCAAAATTAGCCTTTCTCAGAGAACATTGCTGTTTTTTTAAAGAACTGTTCAGCCATCGCCGATCCAGTGTCATTCACGCTCTCTTGCAAATTCTCCAACTTATCTTTGCGAATATTGGCTGGTACGCGTTGATTGGTCCTTGCTTTCAATCTTTTTTCCGGTCCTGCCTAAATAGCGTCATACTGACATTTGAACTGGTAAATTATAAAACTGATATCGTAGGGAGGTAGAGTATCCTTCCAGATAGGTCTCAACACTGGTCGGACAACAAAAATACTGTATACATTCGTGTATAGTGCGAGCGTTTATGATCCGCTTTTGCGTTTTTTGTTTTTTGTTGTTTTTTTTTTTTACGCAAAAATCGCAATATACACTACAGTTCAAAAGTCTCAGATAACCTCTAGTAATTTTTAAATTGGCCCCAAAAGTAGTTGTTTTCTACTTTAAATAAGAGAAAATTATTATACATAGTTTTAAACAGCTGGACATAATTTTTCATTAGAAATTTTATTATGGTAAAAAGAAAAAAAAAATTATGATTAAATTTTGCTCTCGTCAAAATATCCTCCTTTAGCATTGTTTACGGCAGCAAAAGTTTTTGGCATTCGTTGCAAACATTTCTCAAAATATAAGTTAAATAACTGATTTCATTCTCTTTGCAATGACTCTAAGAGCTCTTTTTTCATTTTTTATTTTTTTATTTTTTTTACTCTTTTGTCAAGTTCATCCCATGCTTCAAACTTTTGAACTGTAGCGTACATAAAGTCGGCTTATACAGGAGTACATACCGTAATATGTGGATTGGCATACAGATCTTTTTACATACACAAAAATCTGCCCAGCAAAGCTTGTACTCGCATCACCAATCCATGGTGTACGCAAATAGACGGGATAATCGTAAAGAATTACCATTTTCTATCAATGGAGAAAAAATATCAATTAATAACTGTTTAAGCGCACCATAAAACAAGGACACTTATTCAGCGTGAAACAGAAAAAACATTTGTTTATTTACAATAATATTTTATGTAAAAAGGAAGATAGATGTTTCTCAAAATATTTTACGCCTTAAGAAATCGGGTTAGTTAGAGAAAAATGCTGACGAGAAAGTGGGAACTTAAAGCTGTAGTAGAAATTAGAAAAAAGTCATTGGTAGAGAGAGTAAAATGTCAGCGAAGTTCACGAGGCGCTGGCAGATTTTGTTGAGATGTTCAGGGAGTTGGTACGTCAACATAGCAGCGGGAGCGTCCGTTTGTTGTATGGAAAGAGTTGTAGAATGATTGTCGTTTGTGGAAAGCTTTCAGAAGTTGGTACTGCTTTGTAGCATAATAATTGTTGAGAGTAAGTTAGTTTTGTATCATTAAGGAAAACTTGGTCTTGTTACGCCATTGTTATTATTATTATTTTGTTTCAGGTAAGCATATTAAAATGATCTATTTTTATGTTTTCGAATGATGTCTTTGAATTCCTTGCAGGCCACATGGTATCTCGGAATCCAGCGTTCTCTTTTCCCAGCTCGCACTGCTATCTTGATATGCTGACCCACATTTCTTTTTGACCGTTCACTCACGAACTGAATCGTTATGAAGAGTGATTAAACTAGCTGATGGCTTCTCTAGCTACTTTTCAAAATTGTCTCAGTTTTAGGTTTGCAGCCATATCACGTTGAAACACCAGTTCCTGTATGATCACCAAAGTTAAGCAATGCTGAATTTGGTCAGTACCTAGATGGGTAATAACTTGGGAATACCATGTACTGTAAGCTTGGATGTGCTGGTGGTGTAATGGATAATGGCGCGGGATTGTTAATAAGAAAGCCGAGTTCCAAATTGTGGTTGAGTTCGTTATATTCACTTACGCACAAATACCCTTGGAAAAGGTAAGAATCTGTTGCGGTATGCTATTGTGTTTGGGTAGAAATAAGTCACCACTATGTTGCGGGTATCACCTCTTTAGTTGTGATCTGTACAGACATTTTATATTAAATATTTATGAGCTCCCGGAACATCTTTCCCATTGTAGCGGTATCGACGGCCTAAATCAACCAGTACATTTTTTTACTTTAAGAATGTGTAAGCAAACGCAAAAGAAACAAGAGAAACAACACAAAACGGTTTTATAACAAACAAAGAATATTTATATTTCTGTCTGTAATGATGTCCCTTTGACTGGAATTAAAGTCTTTACTAATGAAATATTTTTATTTGAGCTCATAAAAAGTTGTATGAACTTGCCGCTCAAAATGTTCATTGTGAGAATGTGTTTGGTAAAATAGAACTTTGAATTTTTAATTGATGTTTCAAGAAGTTTCTGTTTGATACTAAATAAAATTTAGTTTTTGTACTTCTGAAAATAATTACAATAAATTTTGCCATTAAAAGAAAAGGGTTCACCAAGAGCAAATTTTGTTAAATAGAACTGAGTGAGAATGTTTCTTGAATTATGTCCTGAAGAGCTGAAAATGTGTTTGGCAAACTTGTAGCTTCAGGAAAAATCTTTTACTTTAAAGTAATTTCTTGCTGGTAAAGAATTGGGAAAAACTGTAATATCCAAGTTAAATTTCTTTAACGATGTGTCTGGTTGACTTCTTTTGTCTCACTGTGAAAGAGTTGAAAGAATTCTGTAAAGCTGAGAATATGTGTTGACTGTTGATGCTTGTAATGTTCATAATGATTGTAATGAAGTTTCCATTGCTTGTAATGTTATGTAATTAAGTTTCGTTCGTATGTGTATGTGTTCGTGTGTGAATATGTTTTCATAGCGTCCGCCCGAACCGGGGTCGAAATGTGATTTCTTATACAGCTACATTTTAGTAAGCGAAGAGAAATCAAGAGAGCGGAAGAACAAACTTGTGTCTGGTATTTATAATCAACGTTGTCACGTGATCGGCTCCCGAGGAAAAAAAAAAAAGCGAGAAATTTTGACTTGGTCACGCGCTGGAAAAAGGCTCGTACGTGGGTGGATTGCAACGCCAACTTGACCAATTAGAAGTTGAGGTTTTCTGAAAATATACATGAAGATGGATAAGCTTTGTGAATCGGCTTTTTGCACAGATTTGCCCAAAAAATCGACATTGATAAAAAAAAGTTGTAGCGAGGTGCTAAACCGCAAACAAGATTGGCAGACTCATGCAAGTCCCGATAAAAATAAGAAACACAAAACAATGAGTTTAAAACAAACGACAATGCATGTTATTAACAAAAGGAATTACATTTGTAAACAATTGAAATGAAACAAAAAAAATGTGATAGACACGTATGTAGAATCTACATATGTGTCTATCACGCACTGAACTCGCGCACATAAGCACATCTACATTGAAAAGCAGGAGTTAAAAGGCTGAAGAGAGAGAATATGATTGGCTTTTTATAAACTTAATAAGCGCCGGCTAATGAGCGCTTTTGGTGAAACTGTAAGTGTAAGCGTTCTCAAAGCAAATTTGTCGCAGATTAGTCTCCCAACAAACGCCGTAGCCAAAAATGCCCGATTTTTCCTTTCACTACACTCCCCCCCTGTCACATAAGTGACACTCATGGGTGGGCCTCTTTATTCTTAAGCCAAATATACGTCTACAGTCTCGCCAGGTCGCAAACGCCGTGCCTGGAATTGGTCGTAGGCCACGAACCGGTCAGTTCCAAACGCGGTTAGTAGAGCGTGCTTTATTTGCTCAATGTCATTTTTCTGTTCTTTACTCAGCTGCCTATACACAGCAAGGGCACCGCCATTCAATCGCAGTGGAAGAATCCGTTCAATCTTCGTGATCTCGCATAATTCGCAGACCAGTTCCACCTTTTCGATCCATTCAACCACAGACTGTCCACTCGTATCACCACTGAATTCGGGGATCAGTTTTATATCGAACGGTCTTTCCGCCATCTTGCGAGAGACAAAGTAAACGCCAAAATAGCTTGTAAGTGTAAGCGTTCTCAAAGCAAATTTGTCGCAGATTACTCTCCCAACAAACGCCGTAGCCAAAAATGCCCGAATTTTCCTTTTACTACAGAAACCAAGTGGGGTTACCCACAAATCCACCTCTTCTCTTCCAGCTATGAATTAATTAGTAAGACTTGTATCACTAAATCATTATCTAAAAAATCTTACAGTCTAAAGATATTTTTTGGCTTTAAATAAACTGCAAAGGGTTGATAAGCTGTAGAAAACGAACCAATCAATCAATGTCTCGGTTTTCGAATTCCGTCCTTCTGATTGGTTGAAAATGACCTTGAGAAGGAATTCTTTACATAGGCCTTTTCCTTGTAGGTTCATTTTACCCTGTATCAGATATTGCGTCGTCACAATCAGGCTTACAAGCAAGGCTTACAAAAAAGGTGCCATCTTGTTAGACATACCTTCGCTCGAGGGATAGTGGGTCGTATTATTTCACGGAAACGTTTATACATTTTTTAAAATTACATTTCTTTCCTACCTTACCAAAATAAATAAATGCATTTTTTTTACCCCAAAAATTGCCTTTGATACTTTTATTTTTCCATGAATGTGGCAGTATGTTTTGCAAATAACTGAACCCAGCATTTCTTCTATGCTTCCTTTGAAAAAAATGGGTATTTTTTTGCTCAGTCTTTAATAATTTGGAAGCAATTGTCATGATAACAATCTGTTTAGCAGTCTAATTTCATTTGTTATTGACTTTGTCGAATTCTTGAAAATGAAATGCAAATTATGTCACAAAGTAGGAATGACAGTAAGGGTAATCCATATTTTATCAGTAACTGCAAAGAATGTTAGTTAACTTTATAATTTAGTACAAAACAAGGTTTCAACATGCATACTTATTGCAAGTTTAATGAATTTTTATATACTTTTTATCCATTAAACTTATATATAAAGCATTTAATTATTTTTCGTTCCGTCTCGAAATAAAACAAATATCCGTAATTTTTAATTTAAAAAAAAAAGAAGATTTTATTGCATATTTATAAAAATACAATAATAGGTGCTTTTCTCGCCATCCGTAAGTAGTGAAGTGTGTGTGTATGTGTAGGGTGGGGAGGATATATAGAAAAAGCGAGAGGTTCTGGTGACGTCACGATGCTTCCGTCGGAAGAGAGATTCTGACATGGCGGAGAAGAACGTACCAGCGCAAGTGCCGCAAGCAAAAATTGGACATTACCTGCTCGGTGACACGTTAGGAGTTGGTTCTTTCGGTAAAGTGAAAAGTAAGTAGATAGACAATGGTTCTTCGTTACAATTCGTTCGCTGTTCTTTCTTGGTTTCTTCACATTTTTTCTTTTTTTTTTGTTAACCCACAGTCCTTAACGTACCTATGACGACTGACTGTTCATGTGTTTAGTCTGCTCTTACTCCAAAGAAGAGTCAAGGTCATCACTGTTTACATTTTCTCTGGAATCTTTTTCTAGCCAAATATTCTCTTGACTAATCCTTAATTCCGATTACCACAACTTTGACTATAACTTTGAACATGCTTGAGGTGTAGTTAAGGGTTTTTTGGGCGAAATTTTCGCTACTTACATGACTGGTTCGTTACTTACTACCACCACTAAAAAAGACTCGCTTTTAGTTTACTCTTTCTTTTCTTCATCGCATTTTTGGTGTGCCCTACTTTAAACTAAGCAATAATCTACGAGATAATATTACCCCTCCCCCACTTTCTTTTTAAAATAGATATTTATTATTTATAACATTGTGCTCTTTCTATATTCATTAGAGCAAGGTACTTCCTTTCCTACTGTATCAAGAAGTTCAAGTTGTAACCCAATATTCTTATTTTATTTATTTTTATAATTTGTGCAGATAAATAAAAATGGGCTTGAAAAATCTTCTGTAATACAAGAAGCCACACACACATATACGCGAAAAAGAAAACAATCTATATGCGGGTGTGGGGTCCTCCTCCTCATTTTCTTTCCTCAGTCTCTACAACTTTTTATGAGACCACGTGCTCAACATTAACGACGTAAAATATTTCTTGATAACGCGAAATCGAATAAACAAGTTCTTCTCCTCCTTTAGCATGACACGTAGTTATTACCGGGATTTGGGCCTGAAAGTTTCTCTGTATAATGTTTGATCTATTTCATCAGAAACGCACTGACAAGGTTATTGTCGAAAAACAAATGTGTAAAAATGCTTCTTTTATATATTGATAAATTGATTTGATTGTATATTTTTGTTTAGGACATTACCCAAAGTCTTTGTATCTAAAAAAAAAAAAATAAATAAATAAAATAAAAACTTAAAAATACCCTTCATTTATTTACTTTCCAGTTAAATTTGATTTGAAGCTTGCCATTTTAATTTTTTTTATATATGAATTTATTATTAATTAAAAACAAAACAAACTATTTTCTAGTATTAGTTTTAATCTTTTCGTCTTGCAATTTAAAAACTTCTAAAAAACAAACAAACTAGAAGCAAAAATAAAATTAATTAATACCTTGAGATTCCAGAGGGCTTCTGGCACGCTTTTTGTGTAACAGTAACCTCATTCATTTACACTTGTATGAACATATGTTGACTTTACTGAACATTTAATTCATTTGAGCGAATATTTAGTTCGAAAATGTACTGTCAAATAAGGAAAAGATCTTTCCTATATTTTCTTTTAATCCCTGCTCTCTATAGTAAGCAATGAAAAGTGCACTTGTTTTTTTTTTTTTTTTTTTTTCATTCTTCTTCTTAAAACGATCCACACTTAGTTTTTATTGAAAAAAATTATTTCTATTTGATCTTTTATTTTTAAAAAATCAGGTTTTTTGGTTATTTAAAAAACTTTTAAAAAATATGGGGAAGAGTTGTCAGTTTCCTTCTCTCTAAAAACAACTTGTCAATATTTTTTAAAAGTTTTTTGTGGTAGTTGAATTTAATCCAGGTTTTTATTTTCAAATATTTTTTTTAAAGAAAATACAGGATTTTTTTTTTATTTAAGGAGAAAAAAAAGTCTTATTCAAAAATTAATTATCATCTTAGACTATATTTCGTGTTTTTACTGTAAAAGACGGTTTTTGCTACGAATTGATATTTTTAAATAAATTTTATATAAAACGAAGTTTTTTTTTTTTTTAATGACTGTGAAACTGTTTAATCGAGCAAATTAAATTGTAGAATTTTTCTGTGCTGCCAATATTTTTAAAATGTCTGTTGCCATTTCGTGCGAAGATATTTTTCATGGAAAAAAATTACGATTCCATAAAAAAGAATAATGAAAATAAAAGGGTTCGATTATTTATGGTATGAACATTTTAGTTTCCAATTTAAGGGAAATAGAAAAACTGTTGTTTTGGAAGAGAAAAATTCGTTATTGAATAATAAAAAAAAAAAAAAAAACTTTTCTTTTTTTTTAATAAAATAGTTATTTCTGATGCTTTCATTGATGAAATTTTTAATTTTCTATTTTTGTGATGTAAACTTCTGCAATCTGATTAAATTTATTTTAAATAGTTAAAAAAAATCTTCACAATTTTAAATTTATCTTTTTGGTAGATCTTACTTAATTTAATATTGAATTGCAAAGTGCTCTGACATTCTTTTTTGATCGATAAGTTTCCAAGAAAGGACAAGACATTTTTAACAACCTTCTCTGTTCTAAGTTTTCTTCATAAGCAGATGTTGAGATTTGATTTGGATTTTGGTTATTTATTTAAGAAGACACAGCTTTTCGAAGTGGTTGACGCAATAAATCAAAGAAAGGTCAAGGTGAATATAAACCTCAAAAGATTAATAATTTGCAAGATTCGAGAGACGTGCATTTAGAAAAATCTGTTATGGATGTGAACTGGTCTGAAAAAAGGGGACAACAACACAGTCACGGATCAGTAATTCTTTTCGCTACACGTAATTTCAAATATTCCTTTTTGTTATAGCTTGTCATCGAAGAAAGAAATGAGAGATGAAAAAACAAACTATTTAAAATTAAACAATGACGAAAAACAACACATGAACCACTCTAAACAGAAACTGGATGCTTTTTTAGCTGAAAAACAATTTTGTTTAGGGGAGGCACACGATCACGTGACCACTCCATTTCCAAGCAGCTCAGAAGGAATCTTTTTGAACGGAATGTTTACAAATTATTTTTTATTAGAATAAAATTAATTCGTATAATAATGTATTTTTTTTTTTTTTTTTTTTTTTTAAACAACGTCATGATTTTTGCCAGCGTTTAATTACCTACGATGATAGCCTGGATATTTTTTTTTTATAGTAAATAAAATATATTTATTCATTGTCCCCCCCCGCCCCCAAAAAAAACCAACAACAAACATTCATGGCGAGTTGGTTGTTTAGTTTTGTAATGATCAAATCCTTGTATTTGTACGAGCAACGTATGAAGCCGTGGCTTTAAAACAGAACTTATGAAACAGTCTCTCTCTCTCTCTCTCTGTTATTTGTGGGCTACAGAGCGCAACTATCTCTCTCTCTCTCTCTCTCTCTAGAGAAGAATCTTTATTTACTGCTGTAGATTGTCAACATCAGAACTATTTCAGATGTTTTATCAGTTTTTTGTTTGTTTGTTGATATTCGAAACTTTTCAGTGTAGTCCACGCTACGTGCCCCCGCCACAACCACCTGCCGTAAATACTTTTTAAAACAAAATCAGCACTATTTTTTTTTTCTGATGGATTGTATTTTTCTTCAATAAAATTTTGAATTTTAGTTATTTCCAGTGGTCTAATTTTTCGACATTGCTACATTTTGACATTGTGACTATTTTTTTCTTGATGAATGTCAATGAGCATAGAAATAGTTTACTGAGCCAGCCTCTCACCTTCACTGAAACCATTTTTTTTTTTTTTTTTAAATTAAGTTTGCCTTTCCTGCAAATTTAAACAAAAAATAATAAATAAATAAAAATGAAAAAATAATGATGATAAACTAAAATGTGTAAAGAAATGAACTATTTTAATCAAAATTTAATTATTTATAAAATTATTTAGAAATTTAAAGATATGATTTTTTAAAATTTAGTTAAAAAAACTTAACTTAAAACAAATGAACAATGAAGAAAAAAATTGTAAAAAGAAAATAGACAATTATGTTAGAAAATATTACTGAAATAAAAAAATTTGTTTATTCGTTGAAGTTAAAAAATGTTTAAAAATGATAATTGTCGATGTATTGTAATTGTAAATGTTTTTTTAATTTTTCCTTTTTCATCAGATGTGTGTATTTTGCACTCGTAAATTATCCTTTTTCGTATAATTAAATTTTTTTTTTTTTTTTTTTTTTTTTGAAATGACCTTCATAATCCAGGAAAATTATCTTACTTATCCTTTCATAAGAGACCCCCCCACAAAAAAAAATGAAGTATACTACACCGGTACATGCATGGGGGAGGGGAATGTAAAGATATTTGTTTGGCCATTTCAAAACTGATGTTTAGTCAGAGTTTAGCAAATGGAGGATTAGAACAATTTTCGGCACCCCTTTGTATAAGATACTCAGGTTAGTGAAGTGGTACATGAATGGTTAAAAAAGAAAAATTTTCAAGATCCATTTTCTGTTAAAAAACTGATAAGATGTTACTTTTTCTAGGCAAAAGGCCATGAAGGACAATGAACTATAAATCAAAAACTTAATTTAAGACTTTATTTTGTCATGTATATGCCCCCGCCCTTTAACGGTTAAAGTTTAATTTTTTTTTTTTATATTTCTTTTTTTTTTTTTTTTTTTTTTTTTTTTTATAATAGTGTACTTAAAATGTCTTCAGTCAGTCAGTTATGTGCCATGCGTTATACACGGTTAGGCGATTATGTATCTTCTGATGACTGACAAGGCAGATTTTTTTCCGTAGGTTGCCATTTCTTTCTGTGGTAGATCAGTTGCAAGACTATAGAACCCGGTCTGTCCTATTTACCCGTAGCTGGAGGAGAAGAAAATTCATGCATCTCCCAAATGAATGTAATGGATTTGATTGGAATTCAAACTCTGCTCTCTGATTCCTCAATCCGAGCTGCTATCCATTACTCAACCGTCTTACAGTTCCTTATTCAGATATGTCCAGTTTAACTTTAGGAAAAAATTGCTGCTGTTAGGTCATCTTACATAGGATTAGTCCTTCATATGATTATGTCCTTTCATAGACCTCAAAAATAGTTCTTTTGTTGGAAAATTCATATATACAGTAAAAAAATGGGATTATTGCTCTAAATTTTCAAGATTTTCTTAAATGCAAATTGATATTCTTTAAGACTTTTTATTTAGTTTTCATATTCTCATGACTTTTGTTAGCTTTTACTGTTTGGTATATAACAGTTTGTCATTTTTGTTCAACAGATGTTCACCAGATGTCTCTGACTTGAAATAGACCTTTTGAATCACAGTGCTAGGAATGTTTTAATCATTGACTTTTTGCTTTTGTTTTAATACACATGTATATATTAATGAAAATTAGAAAATTGTTGAACTCACACACACACACACACACACACACACCTATCTATATATATATATCAAATATTCTTGTTCCACCAATTGGCAGTTCTTTGGGGAGAAAAGGCTGTTTGGAACTGACTCCTTATAATTGAGATACAAAGAGAGGGAGCATGGTTTAACTCCTGACACAGTATGATGGGTCTTAGCTGTAAAGGTTTGAACTGGTGAAACTAAAGAATGGAACTTGTTTGAACATCTGCTATGGAAATAATGATAGTAATGACATTGTATCTGGGAAAAGAGGCAGCAGGGTGGCATATGTGTAAACAACTTTGGACTATATCAAGGCTGGAAAGTCAGTATTTGGCAGCTCCAACCATTTATATATAAAATCTATATGAATGCACGTGTAGTGTAATTGATAGAAATAATAGAGAAATCTGAGTCGCAGGGTTTGAATTCTTGGGAAAGATATGGATTCATCTCTGCCTCTTGCTATGGGTTAAATAGTAGGAGTTGACTCTGGAAAATCATTGTTAATGCAATTTTCATTAGCAAAAAATGAAAAAAAATTTACAGTCCAAAATGTTTTAGCTGTAAATAACCTAGAAAGGGTTGATAAACTATATATATATATATATAATGGAAATCATTTATGTAGCTCACAATGACAAGTGTGATGAAACACAGAATTGACTGATATGCATTGCCCTGTCAGCTGGGGCTCCAGAATACATCAGTTGCATCTCTGCAGAGGAGTAAGACCCCACCATCACTGACAAGGCATCCTGCATACAAGGATAAACTACATCCAGCAGCAGGAGATTTTGGGGAACATAAAACCACCTCTTAATTGCTGTTGTTCTCAGGTCCATCCTGACCCTGGATGGTAGCACCTGTTATGGTTCCAGCTTTAAGCAAATAGTTCACCCGCAAACTGGGGTCAAAAAACTATGAAATTTTAAAAATACATTTTTATAGTAAAAATGTGAGCACATTTTTTTTTTTTTTTTTTTTTTTTTTGGTGGGGAGTATTACCAGCAATAAAAATTGTCGGCATTAAATAACCCTTTGAGGTTAATATACCGTAAAACAAACCAAACTGATGCACAAAGAGGCCAAACGGGATTGTTTAGAAATACCAAAATTTGTCAGTGATCCATTTAAGAATTTATGTATTTCTGTCAGTGAAGTAACTGATAGCGGCTTAAATGGCAGAATTGGAGAGTGGGGTTTGAATTCCGGTTCATTACATTCACTTAGGAAAGGCATGAATCCATCTCTCCCTCACAGCTATGGGTAAAATAGCAAGACAGATTGGGCTCTATAGCTTTGGTTGATAACCAGTCGAGGAGAAGGAAAACTGAATTCAAACCAGCCTGGAGAAGGTTAGACTCTGTCAGATGATCTTGCCTAAAACACAACACAGCTGCTATGACTGCAGTAAATGTGGTGCTCCTATGAATGTAAGGGGTTACTGGAGTCATGGTTGTGATACATGAACAATATCTTACTTTTATTTGTGAATAAAATAAAGCATTTCTCCCCTTAGGCAGCTTTAGTGGAGGAGAGTGTTTTAATCATCAAGGTTTGGGTTAATGGTGTTCAAATGGTTTCTCTAGTGTGGAGAATGTTAAAGTAACTGGTCTTCAGATATGTTAAGTATTAGAATCTACTCTGACTATTAAACAGCAACTCCTGAGCATATATTTTCCTATCTAGTTACTAAACTCATTAAAAATATCTTGGCATGCTGCATAGAATAAAAGTATAATTTTTTTTTTTTTTTTTTTTTTTTAATCCATGAATGTTCATCAGTAGATCTTTCCTGGCTGAAGTAGAGTATGACAATGCTCAGTTTTATTTGTTTTTTTTTCTCATGCTATTGTTTACCTAAAATCTTGTGCATCTACTGTTTACTCTTCATTGTAATCAAATATCTATTGTCTGCCATAAGTATTCAGCCAGGTGTATTTGTTTCTATTCATTGTTCTTTTGACCCTTATTCTGTGACAATGACAGGATACTTTTATATATATCTTTGTAACATCTTCTGCAATACTCAGCTTGTTTTTTTTTTTTTTTTTTTTTCCCTGAATCTACTTTGTATGGTAAAGGTCAAAAGCAAATGATAGTGCTTTGTTTTGCTCATGCAGATAGAATATGTTAATCATGTATTTTGTATACTAAAGCCATAGATGTCCTTGTGCTGACCAAGTATTATTATGCTTTCTACAATGATAAAACTTAACAATTCCAATATTTCTTATCGCATAAAGAGAAGCTGGCTTAAAAATGATTGCTGGTTCAATCCTCACAGCACGCTTGGACTTTGTTCTAAATTACATTGGATGATTTGAGGCCTGAGATTTTCAAATGCAGAACTCTGAAAATTTAAGTATTGATTTTAACATTTTTTTTCTTTCATCACTGAAAGAAAAAAAATGTTAAAATTGTAAAAGATTGATAACCTTGAACTTAAAGCTATTTTACATGATTAACCATTTTATGTTATATTAATACTGGTTACATGATGTAAAGAATAAAATAGGGATGTTATGTAACCAAATTATTCCCATTATGAATGAGGAACCCAGACAAGTAGGGGTGCAGTTGTCTCTCTTCACAGGTTTGAAGAGGCACAAGATTTCCTCCCCCTGGGATATAGTGTAACTGCCCTACATTAAATACACCTGATCCAGAGTTATGTTGTTTGTGTGTGTGCGTATATGGGCAGTCTTAATTTTGGCCTAGTTTTAAAAATATCTCCTTCAAATTATCCTTTTAAAATTTGATTGTTGTAATGCTGCTGAATGTATATATGTGTGTGAAGAAAATTGTCCATGATTTTCTTTTACTAATCATTATCAACGTAAAATTTGTTATTTTGTAAGGTTATGAAATCGGGTTTTATCTGCTACTTAATTCATATACATCACAATTTACTGGCTTCTATTATAAACAAAAATGCACCTCTCCAAGAAGTAATTAGGAAAAAAAAAAAAATTTTTTTTTATATTAAATAAGCACGCCAGATCATGAATATTGGTATGTGTGTGTGTGTGGGGTGGGGGGTTCAAAATCTTAAGTTTGCTAGTTGAGTTTGCTATATAAATTCATTGTAAATTGATCTCCTGGGCAAAAAAAAACAAAAAACAAAAAAAACATGCTCGTTTGTGATAAAGTATATTCTTACTAACCTTCCTAAATTTTGAAGAAATCTGAAGTTGAAATAAGAAAATGTTATTATTTAAATTAATTAATTCTTTAAAGCGGGTAAGAATATAAGAATATGCTTTAAATAATACATAGGTATTATCTTAGGCACTTTATTTACCTGCATATTATTTAAGCTATTTTATTTGCATGTGTTGTTAAAATAATGGTTACATGCAAAATTTTAAATAATTTAATAATCACTGAGAATAGGAATTTAAAGACTCTTATTGAACTTTTCCCTTTATTATTATTATTGTTGTTTCCCTTACTTGCCCCCTCATGGGGGGATCAGTTCATTTCAAAACTAATTTCTACAGAAATTTCTAATTCATTCTGTCTGCTTTTAAGATTATTCTAGCTACATAACTTTGAACAACACTGTATGGCATAAATATCACATTATCTAAGTTCCCCTGTAAGACTCCAGTTGAGATATTGCAAGATGTTGTAACTTTAATTTTGGCTTTGTAAGGCAGTAATTAGTTCATTATTTTCATTCACTAGTTAACAAACATTAAAATAAAACCTTTCAGTCAAGCACCAGTGACCCGGAAAACAAAACTCGCTTAACACCTTTTACTGCCAGTTTTTATTATGACATTATATCGTACTTGGCATTTTCTGAGCACATTTTCATTTGCAGGCACTAACAAGAAGTTTATTTGCTATAGTACTTCTAATGTGAAAATGTTAAAACTTCAATTGAAGCTACAAATTAACTCCTAAGAAAATGCTATTTCTTAAATTGGTTATTATAAAATTGGTATTTGAAGTCGGATTTCATAATTGACCTCTGCCAGTCAGCATTTTAAATAGTTGCACTTCAAACAACAAAATGTTTACAACTGAAAGCAATAATATTTAGTTAATCTTTTTAAGGTTATTAAAAAAAATGGCATTTGAATAGATCAATTTAAAGTTGAAATTTGAATAAACCAATTTAAAGTTGAAACTAGGAAATGTTTCTTTGTGAATCTTTCAACTGAACTAAATGGACGTTCCATTTAATGATTTCATAATAAACTTGAAATGTTTTTTTTCTTTTTCCAGTTGCTACTCATGAGTTGACAAAGCATAAAGTCGCGGTGAAAATCGTGAACCGCAACAAAATAAAAAATCTTGATGTGGTTGGCAAGATTCGTAAAGAGATTCAAAATCTCAAACTTTTCAGGCATCCACATATTATCAAATTGTAAGTAACACTGTCTTCTCTTTTTTTTATAATTTATTATTCAATAATAGCAATAAAAACGGACATGTTAACTCTCCCTCCCCAAATTATTTTTCTTTTATGTACCATGTCCCTTCAGGATGTGGGCGAACATGGCACTCCCCAAATTCCTATCCATTGTGACCCTTAGCAGCACTTCTTTTGCTTAGCCTCTCCATTCCATTATTTATTCATAAAAGCTCATCAAGTAGGTGGCTCATTACCTTTCCCTCTCTCTCTTACCTTTAATGTGCCTTGTGAGGATCAACTTTTCCAAGCCTGCCTTCCTCATTATGTGTCAAAGAAATTTCAGCTTCCACTTTTTGATTCTGAGTATGTGTTCTTTTTGTTACCATTTTCTTAAAGACTTTTTTGTTGCTCACTCAATCCGTCCATAGAATTCTCAGCAGCCTTCTGTAGAACCACATTTCAATTGCCTTCAATTTTTTCTTTGTCTGGGGAGATTGTCCTGCATTTAATACCTTAAAAGAGATTTGCTATCACACAGCATTTCAACATTCTTTTCTTTGTTTCTAATGAAATCTTCCTGTTTCTGAACACTTTGTTTAGCTGTTGAAATGCATTTTGTGTTAATCCAATGCACATTACATTAATGTAAAGTTTTTATAAGTAAATACAAAACATAACCAAAAAGCAACTTAACTGGTTTATTGGTCCTCTCATTGGAGATCAATTAAAACAGAAGTGTACATGTGATTTAAAATGAACACCAAAGATCAAATGTTATATACTAAATATATAACAATTAGAGGCTAATCAAATTTAAGTCTAATAACTAATCCTTCTGCTTACAGAGAGATGGCTGGTAAAGCTTAATATAAATAGGTTCCAATAAATGAAATTCAGAATTAGCTTACAGAAGTACTGAGAACATGTTTTGGTTATAAGACTTGGGCACATTACTGGTTTTTTAATTAATCTTCAGCTATTGCTGAACAAATTCTAGTCGCACACCTATGCAAATTGTTCACCTTTTCAGCATCACGATGACATTTAATTTGTTCAACTACCAATTCATATTTTTCTTTATACAGGGTTCCCAGCTAATCTGGAAAACAAGGAAATCAGAATTTTAGTTTAATGTTGGGGATATTAGAATTTTCTAATGCAACTTGGCATTCATCGTGTGGCACATTTGTTATAGGTTTTTTTTTAGAGTGAAAATGGTTTGAGAATAAATGCTAAATGTTATTTACATATTTTCTTGGATTAGTAATATTTGAATAAAAATGTCTACTTCTTTCCATCCTGAATGGATAGATTGAAGTCTTCATCCTGAATTTGATTTAGGAGTCATACCAGTGAAAGCCTATCCTAGTAAAACTGATGTTTTATTGTGTAATATGGGAAGACAACCATTCCCCATATAACCAGGAAAAGGTATCAGCTGAAGAATGTAAGACAAAATAAAGAGGGCAGCTAAGCAAATTAACATCTGAGAGAAGTGTTTAAAGTTTAGAGAGCACATCAGGAAGAATTAAGTGACATTGTGGCACTTATAAATTCAAGTAAGTTATAAACTTGACCATGTCTTAGATTTGGAGGAGTAGAGATGTTACATTGTAAGAAAGTTTATAATTTGTATAAATTTATTTACATTTCTGTGAGAAAGTTTATATTTGACAATGTGTGTTTCTTTGTCCATTCCTTTTTTTAAGCTGTCTTGACACAGTTATATACTTACTGTCTGTCAGTTATGCTGACTTCTTTTTTTTTTTTTTTTTTTTTTTTTTTAAGCATAAGACTCAAAGTATGGGGAACCCAGTGAGGATTGAAGTCATTGCACAGTTGTAATTGTTCTAGCGAGACTAGCTTGTTAACCATTTCACCATGTTAAAATGCCCTAAAATGATTTTCTAAGTGTAGCTTAGATGTGGCACAAGGCTGGACACCTAGTGAGGATCAAACTCGCTACTCAGTTGTAATTGTTCTAGCAAGACAAGCTTGTTAACCATTACACCACATTGAAGTGCCCCTGTCTGTCAGTTATGTGATGTTCCAGAATCATTGAATTTTTCAACAATTAGGCTGGGAACTTTTCTATAATATAAATTTAATCCACCAATTGTCTTTGTTGCTTGCACATAATGGTGCTGATAATTAATTATATTATTATTAATTAATTTTTATTAATTATTTTATTATTTTAATTATTTTTCTAATTTTAATTTTTATTAATTATTTTATTATTTTATTAATTATTATTATTAATTATATTAATGAACAAAGTAAATAATCTTTGAATAATTGGGATAAGATTTAAACTCCAATTTATTTACATTTTACATGGGTGCTTGGCTGAATGGTTAGGACGTTTGCATTTTGACCATGATCCTGGGTTTGAATCTCACCATGGTAGATTTGTCAGGAAGGAGACTTCCTGATGTCATTGCACTGAAGGGGTTGATCCTAGCGTGTGACACCTTTGGAAAGTGTCTGAAAACCATGCCACAAGTTGACCCAAGCCTTGTGAGTGAAATTGGGTAGATGGAACCCTTGGGGGTCATCAATAGCTGTGCTAACATGAAGTCACAAGTCATTGTGGCTGAGGAATTGAGCATGCTGGCCTTGTTCAAATTGTTGATCACACAAGATAACACACTCTTTCCCAGAAACTGTAACTAAGATCTGCTCAGTATAGTTGCAGTATAAACCACAGGTGGGCTCTGTGGGTGTTAAATAAACACAAATGTGCCTGAGCAAGCGTCTGTAACAGGGCTTGGCTAGCCGCCCTAGTAGATGAGTTTCTTCCAATATGAGTGGCCAGCTATACATATATACATACATTTACATTTTTTTACAAAACTTTTGTATTTAAAGTTGTCGTTTAGCTTATTTCTGGACATATCTTTTCACTGTAAACAGTTTTATCAGTTGAAATTTTCTTTTTTTTTTTTTTTTTTTTAAATCTTTTTTAATCTTTTTAAGCAAGCAAGGCAATAAAGCCACTAAGACACAAGGGGTTACTGAGTGGTGAAAGAATATGAGATGTTAAGAAGACAATAAAAGAACATGATTTAAGGAGACAGATGACAATTTACATTGCATTTGAATTTTTGGAGATTATAACTGACAGAAAAGCCACAAGTGAGTTCCACAGCCAAGAAGTGCAAGAGAAGAAACTATTAGAATAGAACTTACGGTTACATCTAAGCAATTTCAACAGCAAAATGATGAGACTGTTGCCAATCTAGTACAATGTTTAAATTAACGAAGCAGTAATTGCTCTGATGAGTGTTCCCGCTTATCAGAAAAATTCTGTGTTGTTTTTTTTTTTTTCTTACAAATATTTTCTTTGGGACTGCTCCGACAAGCTTTTTTTTCTCTAGTGCCCAGACTGTGTTTAAGCATGCTACTAGATTGGCATCTAGGTCTCACCCTTTTACTGTTAAATGTAACTGCCACTTCTACTCCAACAGTTTCTTTTCACGCATTTCCCGCCTGTGGAACTCCCTTCCCTATCCTCGCTTCTCTGAAAACTACAATTTTCAAAAACTTAAATGCAATGTCAATTGCCATCTATCTTCTTGAAACATCCTTCAGCTTTTATCGTTCCACCCCCCCTCTACCCAGTATTTTCTCTCACCTTCACTCTCTGTAACCCACTGTGTACTAGTAGAATTCCTGTCCAGCTTAGGGTGAAATGATTAAAAAAAAAAAAAAAAAATTTCTAAAAGATGTACAGGGAAGCTACATTGTAGTGGTAGGAAAGTGATTTAAGCTGAGATGTCAGGACAGGACTGATAATATTGCAGATTCTTGTTTTGGATTTTGTTAGTTCACCTATTTACTAAATATCATTCAGTTTACAGGAGAAAAGGAAGTACAAGTGCATTGACTTAGAGAAACTTGAATGTCGTTTTAGTTGTTGGTGAGTCTTAATCTGAAGCCACTTGCTGTCTTTGTAGAGAAGGAAGTGCTTACCATAAATTTGTAAATGTGAGCTGGCATTCTTGAGTTGACTGACCACAACCTGTTGCAAAATTAAATTATTAGATACAACTCTACTAAGGGTTTTGAATTTACTGAAACCAGTCACGAGTTATTAGTTTGAACGTTATCTCTCTTTCAGTCTTAGTTTGGTTTGTTTTAATCACTTATGGTCTTTTTTCTACTATATCTGCAAGTTTTTAATCTTATTTTAGATTTTTGTTTTTGGTAGCTTTTTCCTGGAGCTTTATATGTTGATTTTTTTTTTTTTTTTTTTTTTTTTTTCGTTTGTGTGTGAGAATATAAGACACACACCTGGCCACACATATTTGCATTTAATATTAGAGTAATATGGATCGAGTTAAGCATAGCACAAGTCATTGTTGTCTACATAGTTTGAGTAAATATTAGCCTACCAAATATCTCAGCTTTGAATAACCTGTTTTTTTTTTTTTTTTTTTATTTTTTATTTTCTTATGGGGATGTGGTGGGTAAGAGGATGTTTTACATGCCATGAAATATGGTATTTATTGATTATGTAAAAGTTATGTTAAAGTCTCAAACCAAGCTCTATGTAAACGATCAAATATTAAAACCACCTATGCAAAACCAAAGTTGATTGTCTTGATCAACTTCTGATGTACTATTGTTGAAAGAATCTGTCAAACTTTAAATAAAAATGGTGAAACCTGAGCTGTTACTTTGGATGTCTTAAAAGCATTTGACAGGGTTTGGTATTCTGGTCTTTTTCACAAGTTGAAAGGTTATAGTATTTCTGGATTAATTTTTTATCTGATGAAAGTTATCTTGAATGCCCACTCTTCCAGGTCTTTTTGCATTAATGCAGGTGTCCACCAAGGCTCTATATCCTTGGAGCTATGTTGTTCCTAATTTTCATCAACAACATTCCCAATTTCATCTGTTTTCAACTCTGTATCTCTGCTGATGACACTACTATTTACTCCTGTCTTAATGATAAGTCTAATCAGTTTGATAAGGTCAAACTTGCAGTTGATCTAAAAAATGACCTC